TTAACCCATAAGAGCCCAGACCCATTTTTCCAAAAAGTTTTGATGGGTTAAAATCAGACAAAAAGTTTTGAAAAAAGATACTGGGGAGTTCAAACTGTTTGTTACACTGGTGTCACTGTGGGCTCTTATGGGTTAAAAGAAAGGGAGATTTGACAATGAGACTTATTTAGACAGCTGCCTCGAAAGACTTGATCACTCATTTAATCTTCCATATCGCACCAACGTTTAACCCCGATTTGGAAGTATCCCGATTCCCGATGACTCACCATCTTGATATAAGCGTTCTCTGCGAGGAGGCAGTAATTGGACATGGGCTGAAATGAAAAATGAGTTCAGGTGAGGGTTCGACATTCTCTGCCTAGCGCTGTACACAAACAGAGCAACTGGATCGGCACAGCTGATGCAACAAACATGTTTCGGAAGATTGACGTTCCACTGTAGCATTGAGATCAGGAAATAGTTTTTATAATTACTACCATGAGTGAATGAGTTAATAATCAGTGCTACAGACAATAAAAAAAACTTTTTGATTTCACTTACCGGTAGAGGTTCTTCCTCCTCCACCGTGCCATTGTGCACAGTCCCCTCTCCGCCTCCATCGCTGTGGTGGTGGTGATGATGATGGTGCTTCTTCTTCTTTTTCTTATCCTTCTCTTCCTTCTCCTTTTTCTGCTTCTTCTTCTTGTGTTTGGATGATTTCTTCACATCGTGAGGATACGAGAGCGAGAGAAAGCGTATTCAACGGCCACCACAGCAGACATCATCTTTTCTTTTTTTTCTTTCCAGGAAACGATGACATCATAGGCGGTGACTCACAGACTCCTCCGTCTCCAAGTCCTTGGTCTCATCGGGATCAGAGTTTGGTGTCGTGCAGGATGCTGCGTCTGGCACGGAGGCTGCTTCTCCTTCTACTGTTACTGCTTCCTGTAAACACACACACACACACACACACACACACACACACACACACACACACACACACACACACACACACAAATATTAATAAGCAGGAGGCAAAAAAACATACTGCACTGTCTACCAAGTCGGTGTCAACAAAAGTTAAGCTCGTGAGCTCATTCATAGCAAAAAAAGGGATCAGCCACAATAAGTTTTGAGACCAAACTGTGACAAGAAAAGCCAAATGAACCAACAAGAAACAGCAGAAGTCAAGAGTTTAATTGTGCGAACAATTCCTCATCAGAAAAGCCCAGGCGGGCTCAAGGTTAGCTCTCATTCTTGCAAGACCACTACCCAAAAAAAATCCTTTAAAAAAGACACATGAAGGCATGCACCGGAAAAGTGACGGGTTGAGGTCAGACCAGTTGCTACCTCAAGTCTGACGAATGAAAACATGTCAAAATAAAATGCAAACGGTATTTCCTTCAAATAATCCTTTGGAGTGACTCTTTAGAACGCCTTGTTGTGAAGCCCTCAGCCCTGAGTGTGTGCACGTAACAGAGAGAGTAGAAGAGCTGGCGTGGTTATTTTAGAAGGAGTGCCTCACTGTCGCTTTAAGCCACAGAACACTTGAAGCGAATATATTTTCTTGGTTCAAACATGGAGTTATGTTTTAGCACCAATTTTTAATCATTTTCGATACTTCTATGTGGGGTGTCACGTTTCCTAAGTACACAATATTTATTTTCACTTTTAAAGGAACTCCAAAACTTCTTAAACCGCTGTCATCCTTTGATGGCACTAATGGCAACAGAATTACAAAACACTACGTTTGATGTGTTTCCCCCGCCACCCCTGAATTATTATAGCACATTAAGTGGTCCAAGAAAGAGATGGAAAAATAACACAATATTGCCGCGGCATCAGGAAGCAAAGGAACTGACTCCAGGCCAGATTCCTGTTGGGACTTCAAAAGACGACAGCCATGCTCTTATCATCGTCACTAAGTAATAATGACAACATCCACAAACGTGATGAACCACTTTCACGGAGCAAAAGGAAACAGGAAGAGGAACACTATGACATACTGTACATTAAAGTCACTCATGCGTACAAAGGGGGGGGGGGGATGAGTTGTGCGACCTGTGAAAGAGAGGAAGCTGACGCGTGGATGACGAGGAGACTTGTTTAAAAAAAAAAAACAAAAAAAAAAAAAATGGAATTATGAGAAGGGGGGATGAGTACAACTAAGCGATGGGGGGGGAGACAAGAGGGGGGCGCCTCA